ATTTTTTCATGTATAATCATCTTTTTTTTGTACTATTATATTTGAAACACCATGTATACATATATAGAAAACGTAACACTAGCAATTATTGCAAAAGTGACAAATGTAATAATTTGTATGTATACACTATTTTTATATAGTTTACCTACTAACAGAGATCATAACTTTTATTTGTACTTTTGTAGTATTAACATTAATAGTAATAAAGTAAAATCCATCGAAACTCAAAAGAGTCTATATTATATGCGTATAAGTACGAATAAAAATAAATTGCGTATAAGTACGAAATAAAAATAAATAAATATATATACACATATGTATGTTATATAATGGATAGTAGAAGCTATTTTAGAAATACTAACAATTAAGAAGACTATAGTAAATAGTAATAATGAATGTGTTGCATAAACAGTAAACACTGCCTTGTTTGAACCAGAAAGGCGACGTTAATGACGATGTAATATAACTAAATATTACAATTTGTTTATGTATATATATTGTATTGTTTATTTCACGCAATAAATGACTATGAAATGTTAATATTTTGTAAAATTTTATTATTGTACAATGGTGTTATGACATACAAATATAAAAAATGATTAAATATGTAGTAGCTATAATTTATGTATAAATACTACATATACAAATATTAATGTGTACAAATATTACTTAAAATACAAATATTTTGTTCGAAAGAACTACTCTAATTATGAGTAAATAAATGAAGAAATCCAATATTCTAAATACAGCATTTGAATATATTTACTTTATTTTTAATTATTTATTATTTATTCTAAAAATATTTATTGAATATTATTAATTTATTATACTGAATTTCATTTATTTATTTATATATAGACACACACACAATATATACTTTTTTAAATTTTATACTGTTATAGTAATGTATATTAAAATAGTGATATAATTATAAACAATAACATATTATTAAAATAATCCAATAACAATATTTAAAATTGCTTTTTCATCATTACATCATCCAATATCAATATTTAAAATTGCTTTTGCATCATTACATCATCCAATATCAATATTTAAAATTGCTTTTGCATCATTAGTATTTCATATTTTACATAATTTCAGATTTTTATAAATTTCATTATTAATAATTTACAAAATTAAAAGAAAAAGATAAAAAAGAATTTTGAATAATTTCCAATTTTAGTTCCTAAAACCAAATTTTTAATCTCGAATATAATAATGTTTCTATATACATACGTAAACATATTAAAATTTATGAAATGATACCATATATAAAATAAAAGCATCTTTCCGCTAAAACTATAAATTATTGGTTGAAATTTAATGTTCCAATTATAATTATTATTTTAAAGTATTTTCAATCAATATTTCTTTCAAGATGTTAAAAAAATATACTGTTTCTTTCTTTCACTTTTACTGCTTTTAAAGCCAACAATGAAGGCGAGTTATGGCCTGTATCTGTTTTTTGAGATTTCTGAGATCCTTTTGGATTATAAAAAATCTCAAATACCAGATTTGAAATATCAAATCTTTGGTAGAGTCATCAATCCGTGTCATAAATCTCAGAATTTCCACGCGATTGTCAAAATGAATGACACTGACAATGAGTAAAAGTGAAAATTTCCCTTCATCGTTAAATTTCTGTCTGCATGAAGAAATTCAGTATCCCTTTCCAGAAAGATTTTTCCTACTGAAGAAACCAATTTTCCTCGAGGACGAAATGCGGGAAGATCAGGCAGAATTTTAAATTCTCAGATACAAAAAGAATCTCTCCGACATTTTTTGGTGTAGTTCACAAATAAAGTATAAACTCACTGATAATCACCTTTTTTCAATGGACACAACGTGGATAATCCCGAGCACAAAAAAGATGTGACAATAGAGTTCACTGTTGAATCAAATGAATTCAACATCTTTACAATTTTATGTTATTTATGAAATAAAAATTTTAAAAAAATGAATTTATATATGTATGGAGTATTTTGAATATATTTATATATTGAAAATACAGCGATTTAATACACTAAACTAAGAAAAAATTTTATTGAGTTGTAGTTTATTTTATGTTACAACGATCTTTCAATTCCTTGGCGAACTGCAAATCAAAATCGAATATTATTTATGAAAGTCCTTCCCGGAAATCTATGAAATACTAATTAATAATATTGAAACATTTAACGATATTGATCAAAATTATATAAAATTATATAAAATTCTGTGTGCATATGAGATTCAAGTCCGATTCAGCTCTGTTCTTAAATAGACACGTTGATTGAGTTTGCACAAAATTATTTTACAATAAGTATGTTTCTCTGGTGTGCTCGTCCTTTGAAATTTCCTTAATGTTATGAGAATTTCTAAATTCGAGAAATTTCCTCTAGATAGTATACATATGAAAATAACATATGTACATATATATGAAGTACTATCCTTTCGCAAATCTCGAATTTATGACATAACCGACTATCGAAGACGAAACAAAATGAAATTCGTAAGTTTGTATTGAACGTATTGATTAATTGTATTGAAAGTAATGAATAATTGGTATTGCTGGTAATACCAAAAATATATTTTTTCGAAAACAACCATTCCTTGGCGAATATGTCATAAACCGAACTACGAAAATCCTTGTGTATTCGATTTCGTATAATGGAAACCACAATAATGAGAAATATAATTAGTACAGAAGAAAAATTTTCTGTAATACTAAGATTTTTAGCCATAGAGAAAATTTATGAAGATTTAAAATTAGTACTGCAGTTTCATTTCTATTATTGTGTAATTCCCGAAGTATGTACTGATATTTTTGTGATTGTACAGATAAAGGTCGCATGTTACATGTTTTCATTTTCGAGATATGTGTATTATCAAGAAAACCTAAGTGACCTTTATAAGCACTAGACACTTCTATACGTTTCATTTGCAAGTTTTCTTGTTAATAACATGCTACCTATTTATTTTTTACCTGATTATGAAATGTAGACATTAGTTGAATTGAACATTAAAGTAATTACAATTTAATGGAGTTCCTGAAATCCTTTTCCAAGAGAACAATTCATTTGGCTTCTTGAGATTTTTGTCCCTTGTGATGCATAATACACTATATAATTTAACATTATATATAATATTAAATCTTGTTTAATACATGCACAATATAATTATATAATATAATAGTAATAATAATATTATTTATACTATTTTACAAATTTTGATTTATAACTGCATGTAATTTTATTTGAACGTCATATTTACAAATAACCACTAATTACATAATAAATTATAAATATTAGAATTCCTTAATAATAATTCCTTAATATAATGTATAATATATAATTCTATATATAATTGTAATACATGATTTTAAAGATGACATTGTTACATCATTGAGAATATGGATTGATATTAAAATTGTTCAATAGTCAAACAAATCAGTAAAACAAATTAATAAAATATTATTTTTAACATATATAAAATATTTAGCCTTTTTACAATGATAACAATTAATAACATCTTAAAATTAAATTGAACATATTAAATTAAAAATAATTCAGTGCTGAATTAACTGTAGTTATCATTTTATTTATTTAGATCAGTTTCCATTTTAATATTTGTCAGTTATTTCCATTTAACTATCAAATATTATCTAATTTATTAAATATTTTACTTTTTATAATTCTAATATTATAAATTTAATATCTTATTGTAAAAATTTAATAAAATAATGCGATACAATATTATTGAATTTATAGCATAATAAGTTATTAAATTTATACTTCCTTTTATTAAAAAAATGAACTATATATTTTTACTTAAAAAAATGAATTTCTCTTTAATTAAAAAGAATTTAACTAATAAATATAATTTAGTATTATAAATTCAATTCAAGAATTAATTAATAATATACATAATTATTTTTTAAAGTAAATAAAAAACTAAATGAGTAATTAAAATAAAATACTTATTTTAATAAAACTAAATTTTTCTTTAGTAATAAATAAAAATGATAAATAAATATTTAACTTTTAAAAAAATGTATTCACATTAAATAGTGAAAATAAAATGGTTACAAAACTGAAACATAAATTATACTATTATCTTAAGTTTGTGTTTCCAGTAAAAAATACACAAATGAAATAAATTTTAAATAAATTTTTAATATCACTTATTTTACAAACTTACTTATAGCATATAATTTGATTTAATTTGATTCAGTCTACATTTGTAATTTTCACAATGAAATTTAAAATTTTATATTTGTATTTTGTAGAATAAAATAACACCACTATTATTTTATATCAATTTGGATTATTCTGATATTTTATCAATATGATAAACATAGTATAAATATTTACTTACTTACATAATATCAGTACTTATTTACTTTATTTTATAAAGATTTATTCAATTTAATTAAAAAAAAAATTTATTACAAGAACAATTTTTAATTTTTATACAATATATTATTCATTTACAGATTTAAAAAATATAACAGAATAATTTATGGTAATTTTCATCATAGAAACTTAATATCCTATTTCTATGTAAAAAATATTTCAATTTCTATATTCAAAATATAAAAAATATTATTTCTTTTTCTTTGTTTTTGAAATATAAAATGTGTTATTTTAGAAAAATATATAAAATATTACAAAATGTTTCAAAACATTAATAACAAGGAATGTCTCTGTATTGCAAATAATAATCTATTTTATTTTGTTTCAAAAATAATTTTTACAATTTATTATTACTAAAAAATAACTTACATTATTTTTTAACACATATCATATATTATAATACATCCATGATAAAAGTATACATTTCATTTAATTCTAACAAAATATGAATAAATATACTTTAGACGTATTATTATAAAAACATTTTTTCTCTTAATTCATTTAATGAAATTGTTATTTTCAATTAGTTGAAAATAAACGGATCGTAGTTTATAATTTATTTACAAATATTAAAATTATATATAAAATTTCATTAAACTTTTATAATTTTCAATTGCAAAAATATGCATTGTCAAATCATATTTTTTAATTTATTGTAAATTGAATAATCAAAATATTAGTTAAAATTTTCTAAATATCCATTATAATGATATTAACACATATCCAATTTATTGTTAGTGGGTGGTGCATTTAATCCACCAATATCACCAGATTCTAGTTGTTTAAGTAAACGAAAGAGAGCTGCAGCTTCCCTAATACGGCTAAATTCTATGCAAAAAGCTTGCACTTCGATAAAAAGTTCTTTCACATTTATAATTTTGTTCCTGATTAAAGATTGCAAGAAGACACAAACTAAACGCACTAAACGATTCTGCATATAACGATCTTTTATAGTTTCACAAGTAGAGATACAATTACTAATGTATAAATGAACAAATTCCGTAGGTAAATCTACAGTAGTAGTTAGTCTATTGACCACTTCCATTGAATGAAGTGACATTTCCATATTTACCAAAACACTAAAATATTCTGTTATTTGACTTGATTGCATCAGTTTTAACAAAACTTCAATTGCTATCAAAGGGTTATTTTCAACTAAATCTGGTAGTTTTCCTGGAGTAAGACCAATGTGATATACCAATTTTGGATCTCTGTCTAATTCATTAACAAGATGCTGTTGTTGCTGTAATGTCAATACACTTTTAAATGCCTTGCCCATTAATCTACGAGCTTCTGCACCAGCACAATTTGAAACACACATATTAGTGTCATATTCAATTGTAAATTGAGATGGTTCTGTAACATTAAACCATGGTAATTCGTCAACTGAGCGATACAGAGGAGGTACTAATCGTAAAAATTCAGGTTGATAACTTTGACTATATAAAGGTGGATCATTGGCAATTAAAACTTCAGTCATGCTTTTTGTTGCATTTTTATCAATCTCTGTTACTTTAGAATGATCCATATCAGATAAGATCACAGAATTTCCACACTTGGCAATGGAAGGTAATTCTGAATGGCGCTCTGCTAGTTGTACTTGCAAATTACTTAAGTCAATAGGTGGTGCAGATACAAAATACAATTCATCCACAATTTGCCTTGGAGTTTTCTTTAAAATGTCCTTTTGATTATAACCCAGTAAACTTATTAAAAGATTTTTTTCACATTGTGATAAAACTAGTATATGTTCTGAAAAATTAGCCTTTGATACTCCATTACTTGTATCTTCTTGAAATTTTAAAACTTGGACAAAAATAGGAGCAAATGGTGTCGAGGCCAGAGTTTCTCCTCTATAAAGATCAAACAACAATGCCACTGCTATCACACGTTGGACATTTTTTGGCAATAAATCTATATGTTGTAAAAGGAGGACTAATGTCATTCCTACTTTGAACCGATCTTCTTTTGAAAATGTTTGATGTAACTGGTTGCAAAGATTCTCCAAACTCGTATCTAGATTTTCTTCTTCGAGGATATCCAATAATTTTGTTAAATCTTTCGGTGTAAGTGTCATGATGTCTTAGTAACAAATTGAACTAAGTTACAGCACCCCGATTATATTTTCTTTTTACAAATATATTCATGAATATCGAGGTTCAAATACGGTAATTTTTTCTTTAAATTAATAATTATGTACAACATTATTTTTTAACTTGTAGCATGTTACTATACATCCATTTAGTTTTGTTTCATTTTGTAGATTATGAGTCGTCACTTTATAGATTATGATTAGAATAGCGTATAACCTATATATTCAACTAAAAATAGCGAACTGTTTCTATTGCAGTGCGGAACTGACAATGAGTATAGGTCACAAAACTTCAGAAAAAGCAATAGAAACTGTATATCTCAATAACACCAAACTTCAGCGCTATCTATTTCAGTATTTCTATGGCGCTAATTTCAAAATTCATATGTATTCATTGTAAGTATATAATTTCATACATTTGTTTATTTATAATATTCATTGTATTTGTTTATTCATATGTATTCATTGTAAGTATATAATTTCATACATTTGTTTATTTATAATTAATATTTTATAAATCTACATCTATAAATCTATTTATAATTAATGTTTTAAAATATTCTATCTTTATCTTTTTTGTCATTTTATTGTTAATTAATTTAAAACTAAGAATAAATACATATTATTACATCAATAAATAATATTAAAATTATTATTCACCCAAAAAAACATAAAGAGTAATTATTAGATCGATAAACATTACTAATCGTTAATTAATTAATAATTAATTACTAAATTTTCTTTAATTATAATATATATATATATAAAATATATATGTACATCCATGGCTACTTAAAATCAATTTTGAACATATCTATAATCTAAGTTTAATTTAGTAAATTTAATAATTTATTTAACATATTATTTTTTAATTATAAATAAGCAATATATATACTAAATTCTTAACTACATATCTGAATCTATCTTTTTATTAATTATTTTCTTCAATGCATATTTTTTAGTTTCATAATTATTTAATATTGCAGAACATTCTACATGCATTAAATTTTAATTTTTGAAACGAAAACGAAATTTTTTTAGATTATAATTTATATTCTTTTGTCTTAGAATTTTCGGTGTATAGAAACTAAACCACGATCTGATGCATATAAATTAGGAAGAATCATGTAGAAACGGCACATTATGACATATTCGAAATAATTAAGTTTGCTGAGCGAATAAAGTTTGATTATTGATAATTTAGGAAATTTATAATTAGATATTGACTGTGCTTTACGATAATTTTCAAACAATATTTTGCATTTTTTGGCTAGTAAATCATTACGTGTAATCTAAAATTTAATTAACAGTAATCTTCATAAAAAATCAAAATGAAATTAATTTTTATACCCTAATAATTATACCCTATTCCTTTTTTTATTGATTAACGCGATAAGTGTAACGCTTGAAATTTTCATTTTTTTAATTGCTTATATAATATATCGACATTAATTTGTCTAAATTGGCATGTTAATTATTGCATTATATGTATTTTTTTAAATACATTTTACCAAACGTAATACTATTGACAAATACTGTCGATCAAGGATTACGCTTGGAATTATTCTTGAAAAGCGATTTGTATCAATAGCACGTTTATAAAAACACTTTATAAAAGTCAATCCATATAAGAATCATTTCTTTACACGCCTACGGCTTATATTCGTGCAATACTTCTAGGCTAGATATGAGAAATACGGTCAGCTCTGAAACGGTGAAGGAATGCCAGAGTCCCCCACTGATTTCGCATACTCGTTCCACTCCTGCCCCCGGCCCTCAGTAAATTGTGCAGAGATGGAATCCCCACTTCATAGGCAGAAGCACCTGTTGCGCAGCTACCTGTTTTACTCGATCCATGGGGCCGTTCTCTCGTTTCTCTTTCTCTTGCTGCTTTTCTTTCTCTTTCCCTTCAGTATCGTGCACGGTGCCACGGTAGTAGGACGGTCTTTGATCGCGGTGCTGATTCTTTAGTAAAGGGCAACGACTTTACAAAGTGAAAATAATGTCTTCTTGTGCACGTCGAATCGAATCGCGGTGAACAGTGCAAAGTCTAATTTCGTTCGAAGATTCAACCCGGAGAAAGAAACAGTGGGTCCACTGCAGCAGCCAGATTGGAAATGCATCGGAGAAGAGTTTAAGAAGGAGCAATGGAGGACGAGCCGCGGGATACCTGTTTCGGGGCAGGAAATGTGGCAGGGGCTGTAATCGGTACTTTCATTACAACGATTCTCCTGCTGCTAGTTGCTGCGTTTCTTTACAAACAGTGGCGTAAACAGAGGGGTAAGTTCTCTGTATTTTTTTTCGTACATGTATGTATATCATCACCTGCCGGTAATAATGTATCGTGAAAGTCGTAATGACAGATCGTGGTTCGCATTTTGCTGTCTTGCGCTCGCTCGAGCGCGCTCTAGCTGTTCGAGCGGCAGACGTTCTTGCGACAACTACATAATTTGGAAAACCATTATTCTTTATCATTGAGAATAACAACTTATCGTGCTTGCCGACTTATACTTTTACACTACAAATATACATAAACCGAATGGAATTTGTTGCACGATAAATTGGAATTCATTGCTACAGCGTTACTTACCCGCAACGTTTCAATAGAAACATACCAAACGCGCGATTCAAGAAACTCCACCCTGGCATGCGGAACAATAGATAATTGCGTGCGTGTTTTCTAATCGATCGATCGAGACTTGAACAATTCGAGCACAGATAAATTGACGGGTGAAAGAAGTACACGTGTATTCCCGTAGCAAAGGAATCTTTCAACGTAAAATGAAATGTCACATCAAATGAAAATGTAAAACTGATTGACCTATTAAGTAAATCAATTTGTCTTCGAAAAATTGTTGCAAAAGTTTAATACGAATAGGTAGATTATGATACATATATCAGGATAAAAAGAGAATCTAAAAAAAATATACTTTGATATTTCATAAATTCTATCAGTGTGCCGCATATTATAAACCGTTTCACTATTGCGTCGCAATTGATGCGTATATCCACGCAAAAGGTAGACCTTGAAGTGCCACTCGAGAGACACAATAAGACACGAAAGTCTAGCTCGATACACTGGAATCTCTATCTGGCGGAATGATGTTTGCAAATTAGAATGTAAAACAGCTCCTACAAAATATGCATTCTTTACCTCGGTCTCGACTTTCAGGATTAAACGATGTAATACACGTGGTATGTTATATCGACATAGAATCCAGATAAATATTGTTTCTTCATTTCAAAAAATATATGATAAATATGAAAATAGTATGAGAATATTGACAATAATTTAAGATTCAAAAATTGCAAATACTGAGATATAAACCAGTTCTTTCAAACATTTTTCCAGTCCTTCTTTCTTTTCTCTTTTTGTCTAGGAACGAATAGTTGAAATAAACTTATGTAACTGTACCGTACCGTTCGATATATGTAAATGTAAATCTCAACGATGTAAATTTTTACTGTATAATACATTTATTTGTAACTGGAAAAGATTTGAGCGTTTTGATACTTTTTTAATACTTATAGTTAATATTCTTAATATAATTTCATTGTTAGATTAAAGATGAAATTCAGTAGAAAATTTCTAGAAACAATTATTACCGACAGTTAGAGGAATGTTTGTGTAATCGTAATACACTTTAAATGTATCTATAGAACATTACGTACTGCAGTAAATATAGTAAGACTCAATTCAGATTATGTAATAGTCTGTCCAAGCGGTTTTTTTCGAGATTGAAACTTGTTCAATAAATGATTATTTCTTTCGTCATTAAAATAATAGAATGATCAATTACAAACTTATCTTTACGGTTATATAATCACCATTAGTTGATCAAGTCTAAATTTCTGTACTTTGAACTTCTATCAGTCGTTAATGAAAGTTCGCATACCAAAAGTTAATTGGATTTATAAATATTTATTAATATTAATATTGTTTAAAATTTAAATCACGCACAAAATTAATTCATAAAAATGAGCATTTTTCCTATTAAAAAAATAAACTATTAAAAAAGATTTAATAAATCGAAGTTATAATAAAAATATATATTAAGCTATCAATTGAAAATATAAATGAATAATCATAACCATGTAATTATATCTGTTTAAAATAATGTTACTACACCTGTCCTATCAATATATTTTATACTGAATTAATGAAATTTGAGATAATCACAACCAAAATGATAAGTATTTTTAGTTGAAAACATTTGAGTTATTCAATAAAAATAATAATTAGTATAATAATAAATATTTGTAAATAACTTATATTTAGTATTGATTAACTTTTATATAGATATATATACAAAATTGACATTGTTGATAAATTGAGTCTGTTACTCACCTCTCTAATACAGTTAAATATTGACAACGTTTATATTCAAACGAGAAATCAATCGTTTATTATTTTGATATTGTTATAACTATATTATAAATACGACTTTATGTTTATATAAAATTTTTTTTCTTATTGATAGTACATGCTGACAGACATTGTTTGGAAGAATAAAAATGAAACCCTATATATTTAAGGTATTTTTAACGGATAAATATTTTTGCAATATATAAATTGTAATTATTATTCATACAGAAAGACAACAAAATTTAGTCTATTTTTGTTACAAATTATTATAGACGATTTAATTTGCTGTGAAAATTTGAATGATAATAAAACTTATTGATTGTAAAAATGATCTATTGAAATGAATGGAAGAAATTGATGAAATGGAGAAATTGAATATTATATCATCTTGTGTTTTTTTTTTTTTTTTTTTTTTTTTTTTAATTTAAAAAAGAAAACAGTAGAAGTACCAAAGTATCGCTACTGGATTAATTTTTCTCGTGCAGTTGCAAACGGTTAATTAACACAAGCGTGTAAACGAACCTCGACGGATACGTGCAGCAACAGATTGCTGTGTTTGCGGCACGAATGAAAGGACACGGAGCAACGCTATTGCCACTGTCAATAAAACGTAGAAACCTACTACGAACGATAACGTCGACGATTCGCAAATAGGATCGCGAGGATCGAAATAGTTCTCCCCCCTCCCCCCCTAACGTTATTCTCTCCTCCGGTCTCTCTTATTTTCTCGTGCTCTCAAACGGTCAATTTCAAACATACTTTAGACATCACCAGCGATCGAATCCGCGAGAAGAAAGGAGGCTTTGCTCGCAAACTCAGCTTCCGTGTACTTGCGCGATTTCTCAGTCTGTTCGTCGAGATCCTTTCCCTCATTCTTCATACGGGAAATAAAACTTTCGTTGAAGTAGGGTGAATCGTTGTGACG